AAACATTGATATTTAGGATGGCCTCCCCTATAGATTTCATGTTCAATTATCAAGTGAGCACCCTTCATAAACAGTATAAGTTGGCTCCTTACTATTTGAGAAGAAGATATTATAAAATATAAAATTTTTATGATAACATTTTTACAGCTTTACTTGGAGTCTAGTAAAGATAAAAAAAAAATAGTAAAGATGTCTCGAATTAATCGTGAAATAATTACACACTTTCTCCAAATAAATTTTACTTTCATGACCATCATTCGGAAAGAGAAATTTCATACCAAGCTGTCTACAAGCCATCAAATTTGCTCAAATGGTAGCTTCCTCCTCCCCCTTACAGATCAATCAACGGCTGCAACTTCTTTTCATTAAAAGCTTAATTTTATGGATGCTTATTCTGAGCACTATCCGATAAAGATGAATATAACAGATGAAGAAGTTGCCTCTTTTTAGATGGACAAATGATTGTATTATTATCGAGTCATATTGGGTTGAAGAATATTGTTGATGTCAGAAGGTCTTCGAGGACCTTATTGCACCATGTAAGTATATACTGATGGCATATTCATAAAGAGTTTTGAGAAAATGTGATATCTTTCTCACTTAGAGAAGTTATTTCAACTCCTCCAACATTATAATATATGCCTCTTGATCAAATATGTTTTTGGGATCACATCAAGAAATTTTTGAGATTCATAACACCTATCACCAAATTGAAACAAGTCCAATAAAGATTAATATCATATGTTGTAGTAGTAGCCTTTAAAAAAATATAATTGAGGAACAATGTCTGAATGGATAAGTAGTAGTAGCCTTATTTCATTTTTTTGGCTCACTTTGGAGATACATATTTATCATTCTTCAGGACACTTAAGAGTTTCCAGAAATACAATCTTTCAATGTATAGATGAATGTCAAGCCAGCTTCGAGCAACTGAAGGCATATATTATCAATTAAAAAAAATCAGTATGAATGCTCAATAAGTTCAATAGCATTCAATATCATCAATAATCAGTTATCACTAGTACATTTCAATATGATCAATAATGAAACAAGATTCATTACGCTTAAATTAATAAATCAATAATATGTGTGAGAATATAATACATTGATAATTAATAAATTAGTACAGTAGGGGGGGATAACACATTAGTAATTAATAAATCAATGATCAATAAAATCAATTATGTAGATTATGAACAAACAAGTGTTAATGTCACCAGTCTTGCCCATCTTATCAATTATCTATTATATGAAATCAATACATGTAACTATGTAAGCATTCATATGTTATATATGCACACACATTCTCTATCTATCTATCAATGTTATCAATGTATGTATATATGCATCAGTATATGATTTAGTAAGATATAACATCCAACTTTAATGTGATGTTTTCATTCGTATTCATTATATCACTATATCATCATCATTATTATTATCATTGCAGCCTCTTTATCATTATTATTATAGACGACTTTCAATAAATCATTAAGAGTCACCACCATCTAGCTACCTGTCAACATAATTCAATCATTAGTTATAGGCTATAACCGGGATAACACCATAAATTATCTTTTAAAGGAAAGTTCATCGGCCCAACCTCCTACGTAGAGTATTATATTTTAACAGTCAACCCACATTAATTATAACATCTACAGTCAGCTTTCCTTATTTACATGCAAATATCATATTTATTTTATATAAGTTTGTATCAATTTCTCTTTAATATATGAAATGCAGCATGAATGATTAAATTTATAAACTATACGAAAATCTAAATATTAATCTATAGCTTTAGAAAATCATAAATTTCATTTTACTTTGTGAAATTCAATAAAATTATACTCAAAATGTGCATAAAACTCATATCTATTGTATACAAAAAGCTATAAGATAAATGTGTGATTAAAAAATATATATTTTTATCAATTTAGGAGAGATTAATTTGTCAAATTCAAAATTATTAAAAACTAAAGTGAGATTCATGTTAATTACAACGATCAAAAGACTTTTTCTAACTGAAGCAATATACAAAAATGATCAAAACTAGCTTTCTTTATCCTCCATTTCTCCTCTTCTTCTCCATTTCCCTCTCTTCTTCTTCAGCAAGCTAAGAAAATTGGGGAGGTGGAGGAGCACTAGGGTGATAGTGCTTAGGATATATATATATTACTAGCTTAGCGTTATAATAGTACTTTGACCTAGTGCCGCATCACTGTTTCTTGAATTCAAAATTATTGTAGAACAATGACTCCAATGCCGACGATTTTTGGTGTTGTTTTACTTTCAAGCCTAGTATCGTAGAACTACCAAGCACAACGCCAAAGTGCTCTCATTCAAAAGGAAGCTCAAAGTTTTATTTTAAAATACTTTTCATATTTTTGGGTTTTTATATATATAGCTTCAACAAGATATTGTCTGATATGAAAGGGCGATAACAAATGACAGATACGTTTTTCTTAGCATTAACATTCATAATAAGAACATTATGCTTATTTTATCCCACATTATTGAAGTTTATACTCAGCTTCCACTCAAGGCCATTCTTTTAAAGCTTTTAGTTAATTAATGTAGGGATCAATATAGTTGGGAGAATTTGATATTCAATTTATTGCATATGTTGAATATTGTCACATATATTTGCTGACTTTATATGATTGAGAGCACCATTCTTGATTCAACAAGCCACCCTATTATGTCAGCAATGTTTTGTCTGATATGGAAGGGTGATATCCAATAGCAGATAAGTCTATTTGGTATTATCCTTCATAAGAAGAAAGCTATGCTCATTTTATTTCAACATTATTGTTGTTTATTCTTAGCTTTCACTCAAGACCATTCTTTAAAATCTTTTGATTAATTAATTAAGTGATCAAAAGAGTTGGGAGAATTTGATATTCATTTTCTTGCATAAGTCAAATATTAAATCAAAAGTACTTGCTGACTTTATGATTAAATGCAGCATTCACGATGTAATCAAGCCACCACCTTCTTTTTATTGACCCATTGGATATTGTACGTCAGTGGAACATCTAAATGTTTAGATGCTTAGTTAGAGGTCCTACCCCTCTCTCCACAATGTAATACTTTAGAACATAGAATTCGCTTGAAGTTTTCTACAACTAATAATGTCACTAAGTATGCATCCCTTATCATAAAGATAAAACTTGCAATTGATTGTGGAGACAATGATTCATAATGAATCTTAATTCAAGAATTCTCAAGTAGAGGAAGGGCACCATAATCAATGGGTTATATAACACCTCAGATTAGTGAAGTCACTTCTTTCTCCATTCCATCTTGCAATTTCATCATTAGAAAATCTATATAGGATAAGGTTTATTGATGATATACATTTCCATAGTGTTCCAGGTTCATGGGAGATACAATTCATTGAAGAATTAAAACATACCTCTTGAATGGACCCCATAGTGTCATTCATACATGAGGTTAGATTGCTTAGATACTCTATAATCGCCTTTTATCACCAATGGCAAGTTGCAAAATTTAGCTCCATTTGAGATAAATTGCATTGAAAAAACATTCAAAGGATTATATCTCAAGTGCCTTTCATTGTTAAATGTTGAATATACACTTTGAGAAGTCTACTTATGGATATGTGAGGAGCACTTAGGAGATCAAACACTAACTAAAATAGAGCTGAAGATAGAGGTTCTATTCACCAATGGTGCTTTAGACTATATTTAAAAATATAATACTTATCAAATTCCTTTCAACCTCACTCATATTCTATTAGTAGAGCTTTACACTCTCCAAGCCCTTGTCCCTTCTCTTAAGAGATCAACAAAATAGGACATTTTCTTATAGCCATCGGATAATAAACGTTCATTATCATAACAATTGACTCCTTTGTTAAGTTGGTAAAAATTGAGCCACTCATAAAAATTATTGAGATAAAGGCAAATTAGTTTGGTTTTGAGAACATCATTTGTTACTTTAGTTTCTTGTAAAAATCATCTCTAATAATGGAACTCAACACACTATAAGCATATATTAAAAAAAAAAATCAAAAATAAATTCTTGATAACTCGAGCTCTAATTTTAGTAAACACATAATCAATATAAGTGTTTCAAACCCAACAACCTAAAAAATGATTTGATCTGAGTCTAAATGAGCCAAAATCAAGTAGTTGAAGTTTGATTGGAAATTTTAAGATATTAATTGAATAAATAAATGATCTTAAAATCTTGCTTGCTTATAATTAAATCAAGTGTCTTGATGAGAAAAAATTAACAAGTTTAAGATCACAATTTGAGATATTTAAAGCACTTAAATGTTGAATGAATATGATTAAATAATTGAATATGGGTAGATTTTTGGCACCAATTTGCAAAACTCCACTCCCAAAATAGTATAAATAAACCCCATTCTTCATATGAGAAGGACATAAATTTGAGTTTCTAGAGAGCTTGGAGATCTGAAGAATTTAAAGATTTACCTGATGTTGGATGTCGACGAAAACCGTGCCATCTATCACCGTCATCTACATGCCATTGTTTGACCACTATTGTCTAATCATCATAACATGATTGTTCCAATCTATTCACTATCATTCGACCACCTTCATCCAATCATCATCACTTTACCAACATTGTTTAATCATCACTATCTAACCACCATCGTCTAACCACCTTCATCAGACTAACATCATTAGCAGGAAGTAAAGTTTGTAGTACATACTTTGTAATTTGGGCATCTCTATTGTTAGGAAGATTAAATTTTATATTTTTACTTATATAGTAGATCATTTCATCTAGGTCATATCCTAAAATTTTGATGTATTTTGTTTTATTTTTATCAGTATATGGGTTGGTTCTTTATAAAATGTTAAGACCTAAAACTCTTTGGCACTAAATAATTGTTATTAGTAATATAGTTATTAAATATGATAGTTATATACTTATATTAAAAAAATATTGGGTCCTTCATATATATACTATTTTTAGTAATTTCAAAACTAACTCCCATTTCTGAATCAAGCCTAAGAGCATTATTTGTTAGAGCGCTTTTCTCAAAATTATTTCAGTTGCCGAGGTCGTGCTTGCATTTTATAAGCCGATGAGCCGCTGAGGTTCAAGCGCGCGCCTCGTGCTGGGCATCCTCTGCCATCTAGGGTTTTAGAGCGGGCGGCCTCCAACTTCTTGTGTTTATACCAACGAAAGCTCTAACCCTAATATCGCCGTAATCATGGACCGATACCAGAGAGTCGAGAAACCGAGACCTGAGTCCGCCATTAATGAGAACGAGATCCGGATCACTAGCCAGGGTCTCATTCGCAACTACATCAGCTACGCAACCAGCCTTCTTCAGGTTTATCCGACACCGTCTCTGCATTTGTATAATTTTCTTTCCGTTGGTTGGTAGCTGTTATCAGATTTTGATTAGTTATGTATTTTGCTTCATGGATTTTGTTAACCTGTATTATTTTTGCTTTTCCTGGCCTGATTACGAATTGTGATGACCCATGATGCCATTCCTGTCACATTTTGGGAGATTGTTTTTCTTAGAAGTTTGATTATGCTCTTGTTTGTTTGGAGTGTACGTGAAGTCCTTCGGCATTTGTTAGTTGTAAGCCACATTTTTGTGTTGAGTAATGCTACATTCTTAGGGTTGTAAGTGAATAAGTGTACTTGATGAACATCTGGATATGCGTTCCTATAATGCTCGTTTATGTTCATTTTCTTTTATAATTGAGCAAATTTGAACAAAATTTTAAATGCTTGTCATACAAATGAATAAATTTGAGCATTAACTTGTTCATTTATGTTTGTGAACATACTTGTTTATAGGTTAACAAGTAGCTTGCTAAGAACTCAACAAAATGATCAGCAAATGATTGCTTAATTATTTATTTGATGACTTATTATATGTTCTTCTATCAATTTTTCTACATCTTATACATTTTGAAAACTTTGTATATTATTTAATTTATATGCTTGATAAAAAAATCAAATAAATAGTTAGTTTTATAGATTTAAATATTTCTTACTAATACTTGTATTTCATCAAACAATCTAGAGTAATATGTAATGAATCATGTCAAGTTTGATTAAAATATATAAATCCCATTATATTTTGCAATTAGGCTATATTTTTAAATCCTTAGCATCAAATATATAAGCCATTAGGCTCTATTAAACCTCAATTATAGCTTGAACTTGGTATGAAAACTTATTAATAAGCTAGTACTATGCTTGACTCATTTCAACCTTATTATTCGCCAAATAGATTTGCAATTACTTTAAAAAAATATTCACATTTAAAATAAGCTCAAATTATCTCTTAGTAATTAATATTAAAAAAAATGCAAATATAATATTTTATAGGAAAACACAGATCACATACAACTATAACAACAACAAGCCTCTATCCCACTATGTGGGGCTGGCTACATGAATCATTTTTCTCCATTGTCCTGTTAAGAGTCAAATTCTCATCTAAATCTTATAAAGAAATGTCATTTCTAACATTTTCTAAAACACTAGTCATATGTGCATATAAAATTTATGTTAGAAGATTAGGAAGGAGAAGGATATACACAAGATTAAAATGATAGAATTTGTTGAAAATGGTTTGTGAAGAATATGCTTAACTACTTAGGCAACACTCAACATGAATTAAAAAAAGATTGAGGATTCATAAAGCCAAATCCAACTGGTTGGGACAAGGATAATGATGATGCTGATGATTTTTTATGGAAAGGTGATAATGTTTTATAATATTTGAGCTATCTTATTTAACTATAATATATTTTATTTAGACAAAGATTTATTCATATATAAGATTTTATCAAATATAATGTCTTTGATTTTGATATATGATTTTTGAACCAAATTTTAGACTTTTGCATACAAATATAGCTTTTAACCCATAAAAGAGGTTTTATCTGATATATGATCTTTTATTTAGATATATGTTATTTTGCTATGATAGAAAGTTTTTGTTTCTTATATGAAAATTTGTTAATGGCATTAATTTATTTATTTTTAACCAATAACTTGTAAATTTGAATTTGGCCATATTGATGTCCCCTCATTCTAAGTTTGAATTATTTGGTGAGTACAACAGTATTCTTTTTTATTTTAATGGCACGTTTGTTCATTGATGTTTGCCAAATGAGTTATTCATTAGATGGGAAATTTGTAAACAACTCTTCGTATTTTGACCGTTTGAAATGAACTGTTTTTTCTTGGTTGTAGCGGTCTTCATAGTTCTCTAATTCTTTTAATGATACTTTGATTTCATTCATTTTTTTGTTACCCCTTGTCTTCTTGTTCCTTTGTTGCCTTCCTGGTACTGGAATGGAGTTAGTTTATCCATTAATCCCATATTATGTGTTAGCACTAGCATGTCATGCACCATTGAGCAGCTAAATAATTATACAATAGGCACCAATTTCTGCTCTCATGTTTTGCCAGGTTTTTTGAGTCCTCATGCATTTGAATTCTAGTGTAATATGTTTAAGTTTTTTGTCTCTCTAGTTGTTGAACTTTCTATAGATTATTCTCATCTCCATATGTTGTTGTTCTGCTACGGCGAAAGCAGGGGTCCGCTTGGAGCGGGCCCAAGAGCCAATAGACCGGCTGGTCCAACAGCAAATTTTGGCCCAGGTGGGGTCGGCAGACAAGGAAAGGGAGGAGGTTGAGGTGTGAGGCTCAGCAGGGAATTAATACATTATATTAGGAGGAATTCCATAATGAAATCCTTTCCTAGTTGAATTTCAATTGACGAGGGAAACACTTTAGGAAGGAGGCTGATTTAGGAGGGAATGAGAAAGTTTATTTAAGTCTATAGTAGGGTTTATTTTACTTTCATGCAAAATTTTGTTTGAGTGTTGTAGTTCTTTATGTGAGGGATTTTAGCGGAAGTTAGGGTTTGGGAGAGACGGTCCTCCTCTCGAAAGAGGACCATTGTATCTTACTTGGTTCGTATTTGTTCTCTTTATCAATAAAAATCTATTTTTGTGTGGAATTCCCTTGGAGTATTTTTCTGTTTTTGGTACCAAGACATATCATGTTCTTTCTTTGCTTCAAAATGTGATGTTTCCATATGTACGTTATGATGCTTCTGTGGGTATTTATTTACTATTTTACTGAAATTTATATCTTAGTATTTCAATCATTGAAATGGCTGCATTCTTCTCCTTCCACAGAGGGGAACCTCTTAAAAAAATCTCTTTTTTATTTTAAATATCACTTGTACTTTGCAGCCTATTATGATTCAATAATTTTTTTTCCTGATTGGATTGGGAATCATTTTTGGATTTATGCTTAAATCCAATCTCTAAGCGCATCTTTTTAATTTGAACTGCTCTTGCTTCTTGCAAGATGTTATAAAAATGTTCTGTGCTTGATCAATAACAGTCTTTTGAATTTGAATTGCTCTTGTTTTTTGGATTTATACTTAAATCTAGTCAATTCTCTATTTGACTGCTATTTATTATATCTTATTCTTCTGAGTGGGTCTTTTTATCATTATGGATTATTTGGATGGTTCATGCTTTTAATATATTGTAGATTAATTTGTTTTAAATGACATCTCATTAAGATTTCATTTATGATTCTTTTTGAAACATTGACCCCTTAGTTTCTCTTTTACCCACTAACTCAGACAATTTTAGTCCTTAGCACTTTAATGGCATCTTTCATCTTATAAGTGTGGTACTAGTTTAATTTCTCTTTTTAGCTTCATTTAATGTTGCCCGAAAACATTTTCAGAGGTCAACAAGTAAAGGTTCCCTTTGTAGGAGTCTTACTAATATGATGTTTCTTAAGAAGTTGCCATAAAGATAAAAGGCTTCTAGAGTGATTTCTAAACTATATGCTCTGTGTCATGTGCTTGGTGAGTTGCCTCTTGTCATGAGAAAGGTTTTGAGGCATTCCTTGCCAGCATGGCCTTATCACCATACAAATGCAAAATTAATCAGCGAATCAAATTATTCAGCTATATGTCATCCAGTACATTTGTCATATTAGCATCATTGAAATGAATTAAATGCCTTAAACTTTCTTATATTATAGTTTATGCTTATTTGATTAGCTTGAATTCGGAAACTGAAATTGTTCGTTATGTATATCAAGTACCTTTGCCTTCCATCATCTAAAATGCGCCACCCAGCAGTATATTCTTCTCATGAACATTCAATTTCACAATCAGGAAAAACGGGTGAGGGAAATTGTGCTGAAAGCAATGGGACAGGCAATTAACAAGGCTGTAGCACTTGCCGAGATCTTAAAGGTTGCTGTTAGCCTTGTTTTCACATTATTGTTACCCTTTTGAGGCTAAACTCTTTGAATGCTAACCCATTATATTGTTTTAAATGCAGAATAGGATTCCTGGTCTGCATCAAGATTCTAGCATCGGTTCAGTCAGCATTACTGATGTTTGGGAACCAATTGAGGAGGGACTTGTACCGTTAGTTTTTTTTTTTCTTCCCTTCTTTATAAAGTAATTAAATCCCTGAAGCTTGCTAGAAACTATACCAAATGCTTTTGATCTTACAGGTTGGAGATGACACGGCATGTTTCAATGATTTCAATTTCTCTGTCAACAAGACCGCTGAACAAGAATTCCCCTGGGTAGTAGATTTGTTAATTCGTGCACATGAAATATTATTTCTTGATCTCTATATTATTTGTTTTCAATTGGCCTGTACAAATTAGAAAATTGTTCTGATTTTTAATCTTATTATTAACTTTCACTTGGCCCTTACAAATTAGAGTGCTATATTATTTGGCTGGGAAAATTGTGGAATATATATATTTTATTCTGCAGGTACCAGACTCCATCACATGTAGTGCAGCCGAAGATACAAAAATATCAACAGCCACAGCAATATCAGCAACAACATATACCAAGACAACCACCAGCTCAGTATAATGATGGTATGGATTTATTTGTTTGTGGTGATTACATGTACTCTTTAACTTGATGCGCTAATTGCCTCCTATTTATTCTGGTAATTTATTCTACTAATTATGTCATTGACTAATTTGAAGATTCATATGGTCGAGGGCGTGGTCGAGGTAGAGGAAGAGGAAGGAGCTGGGGCAGAGGTGGTTATGCTGGCTATGGTAATCATGGAGGATATGGAGGTTATGGAGCATATGAAGGATATGGAGGATATGGAGGATATGGAAATTATCAAGGTATTAATGATTTGATTCGCTTGCTTTTATTACTGTTAGTATTTTTGTCATTGGAAGATTATTGACTAGGTGCTTCTTTACCCGTGCTTGTTGGGTTGGAGATGTAGGAACCTGAGGGGTTGAAACTCCCTGCTGATTGACATTTCCTTATTTTTTGCTGTCTAAGCATTTTCTCTTTGTTGTCTTTATTTAACTTGCATATGCTGCTGGTTTTATTTGCACAAATATTTGACTAATCGACTTCATTCATGCTAGAAAATGGTGGATGGAATTATAACTGGAATCAAGGCGGTGGTCGTGGTCGAGGAAGCTGGGGTCATCGTGGTAAATGTTTTTGTCAAATCTGAATTTTCTTTTGTTTTTGTATTTTTCAAAACTGTTCTTTAGTTAAATTTATGTGTAAACTTCTGTGGCAATGCTTTTGATGCTCTATCAAACTATTACCAAGTTAAAACTGCTTGCAAAATTCAGTTTTACTTGTATGGTGCATCAAGCTAGCAAACAACACACTTTACTTTGACTTTGGAGCCAATTAATCAAATTTCTTATGTAATCTCTTAATGTCATGTTAACTGTAATTCTTCGCCAACAACACCTCTCTATAAAACTTTAATTTCAAACGATTAAAGAGGACTTTGTAAAACTTTAATAACTCTAGCATAGTAGGTTGAGGCATAATTTGTGTTGTGGAGGTTCAAGACATGGAAATAACACATTATACTTTTTGTGAAACACCAAAATAGTTGGTGAACTCAATTTGTTAACAAAGATCTTCACATAGTTTTTGTTGGTTATTTTATTTTTATTTTTTACTCTTGACTTAACGATTGAAATATGCAGTTGGTGGTTATGAACGAGGAAGAGGAGGCGGAGGGAGAGGCTATGGCCGAGGAAGGGGCAGGATGGGCAGCCGCGGGAGAGGAAATCAAGCTTAGCAAGAATGTGGTGATGGGATCTCTTTTCCAGAGCGTGCTTTCTTTCTTATATGGGCAGTGAAAGGTTGATCTTAGTGTTTCTTCTAGTCGTGATGTTGTGAGGCATGGCTATTATTGCTTTAGGATGGTTATGCTCTCTTTCTATTGTAAGTTCTTTTCCTTGGTTGCCAAGTTTATGAGCATGCTGTAGTGCTTTCGTCTTTATAATTCCCCATCATCACCTTTTAAAGGTTTTTAGATACGTGTATCTAATACTCAATTTTTCAATGTATATTGAAAAAAAAAAATCTTATTTTACCTGCAATGCTTTCTTTATTGAAAATGTATAATGCTAAAATTTTCTCCACCTCCTCAAATCCTTCCTTCTCAAATATAATTGGCATGGAGATTTGCTCACCAAATACTCTATTTATATTTGAATGACTAGTATTAATGGACTCAAAATTGCTGACAATTTGAATAGAAGAGGTCTTGGGTAAAATCTTTTTCCCTCTCAACAATGCTGCTTGAGAATTAATTGCCTCTTTTCTCACTACCTCATCATACTTCCCCTCCAAAGATGCATATGTTTCTTCTTTTGCCTTCAACTCCTCTTTTATTGCATGTTTCACTTGTTAATATCAATTGCCTTATCAATGATTGCATCCTGGTTTATATCATTTGGATCCAAAGGAATAATTGTCTCCACAGCAAAAGACCATTTATCATTTCATCTTTCTTACGTTCTATCAAATATCAATTGAGACTCAAATTAAGGAGATTATTCTGTGCGGACACCGGACGTAGCTCTGTGTTTGAAAGCGAATTAGATCGTGCCACATCACCCGGTACACAGCCGCGGTATAGAACAAGGAGCTGATGTGGCGTGCTCTGATTTATCTCTGGACGGCGTCCGGTGTCCGCACTGAAAAATTAATCCAAATTCAGGTGGTGAATACTTCTTGAATATCTTCCTCATGCTGTGAAAATTGTGAATCTATGAAAATGATGGCCCTCTTTAGATGGTCTTTTGCTGGTTAACTTGTTTGGTTTTTAACGAGATGTATTTATCTTTCTACATGGTCACCTGTTCCCCCATCCTGGTTTGCATTATCATTCATGGTGGCACTGTTTTCTTCTTGGGATCTCGACTGTCTAAAGCAATATGGCCTACAGTTTGATGGCTGAGCCTTCAAATTTGAATCCTGATTTGATTCCACCCTTTTGATGAAATCCTTTAGTTCACTACGCAAGTCCTAAGGACTTCGAGGCCTAAATGGAGAATCTATTAGGTGTGGATAGTTGCATTTGGATTAGGTGTGGATGGCAAGTATCCTAGCTTTGTCCTCTATATGATTGATCGTCCGCACATATGGCATCCACACCTAATAATTTCTTGTGTAAATGAGCCAAATTTGAGCCAGCTGATTGTGTTTGATTCATTTGAATTCGAGCCGAACACTAGCCTAGTTTAAACAAACCAAAATAAATATATAATAAGATGAACACGATAGAATATTTTTCTTATCGACTAGCTTTTTTTTGGGGGGACATTTAGGCCAATTAAGTCAAACTAGCACATATCACATACGCAGGACTCGAACTTAAGATGTTTTGATTTGCTAGCCAAAGCGTTCAACCAACATATCAAGATGAGCTTTGTGTTTGTCTTAGCATAATTGAACATTTTTTGAATGCATCATATTTAGTGTCCTATATAAATGTAAGCACTGCTCCCTCCTTTCCAAAATTTTAACGAGTAAAATGTTAGAACTTTGGAATAGGGTGTAAATGAGCCAAGTAGAGTCTAGTTTTTATCTAATTGAGTTAACGCTTTTTTTAGTTTTTGTTAAGCTTGAGCTCCACTCATGCTCGTTTACTAAGCTCGAGTTTGATTCGTTGAAAAATTAATAGGCTCGAGCTTAACTCAATTGCTCGAGCTCATTTGGAAAGCTCGAGCTTGACTCAATTGTTGAGCTCAAACTCGATTCATTGAAAAATTAATAGGCTCGAGTTTGGCTCAATTGCTAAAGCAAATTTGGAAAGCTCCAGCTCAGCTTAATTGTTGAGCTTGATATTTTAGATGATATAAACGAATTATTTTATCATAGGATATTATTTATTTTAGATAATATAAATGAATTATTTTATATTATCAATTCTAGATCTAAAATATAAATGACAAATAAGTTGGATCTTTTGTATCGCATAGATGTTCTCATTATTTGAATTGGAGTTTATGTGGATTGAATTATTTTCAAAAGAATATTATTATTAATGTTAAATTACATGTTAGATGGCGCCCAAGAAATTTTTTATTAAAGTTATTTATTTGTCTTCTATTTGAGGTTATGCAATAGTGATTGATTGATTGATTTGTCTCAAAGCAAAGAGATGAGTCAATGAGTATTGAAGCAAAATTTTGAAGCCTTTGATTAAATTGAAACAATTTCTTTTACCAATAGGTATTTTGCCATCCTTAGAACTCAAAGAATATAACAATATAATACAAAGTAAAATTAGAATATTATTACTTTTTGTGCTACTTATATTTATTTTTATTTATTTTTTACTTCTTAAAGAAGTTGATTGGTGTGTAGACATAAGATTAGGGCTTCATTTGGTACAACTTTCTTACTACTTTCTAAAACTGCTTTTAATGTTATCGAGTAATATTTGACAATTAACTTCTTTAATGTCAAATATTGTTAGTTTATTTGACTCAAAGCAATCAAACAATCTCTTAAAGATAACTCCAAATATTTTTTTAAATTTTTTTTTAGCCTTCTACAACCTTCAAACTCTTGCCTCAGCCTCCAACTGGCTTAGAAGAATAGATGTATTTTGTATTAGAATATTTTGAGATAAATTTATACTAATATTATCTAAAATGGTTGACTTTATAAAAAAGATGTGGCTACATGCTATTCATGTAAAATAAATATTTAACATTTGCTTATATTATCTTAGAGAAAATTTAATGATTTTTTAAATTGATATGCATAATTTTTTCCTCAATAAAAATATGTTTTAAAGTAGATGATAGTTAAAGAAGCAAAAAAAAAAAAAGTTAATATTACAGCCATTTATGATTCATATTTGTTTTTGTTATTGTATGATTAAATAGACATTAAATAAAATAATTAATAATATTTATAAAGAAAATAAGTTTAATATAATTGAATTTGAATTGAAAATATGTTTGTTAAAGTATTATAGAAATAATTATATTTAATTAAAATTAAAACCATGACATAAATATTTTGGCATTTATAACATTCAATTTTTAACTGTATAAAATTAATATCTATTTCATTTTTTAACTATTAAATAAATGTATTTGCATGTATTATGATTGAAAATTGTTAAAAATGAAAAAAATAGAATGTTAGTTTGGTAAATAGCAAAGGTATAATTTCTTAATATTATGAAATATATTTGAATTTAAATTTAAAATTATTCTAAGATAAAAGTTACCTTCTGGACAGAGGATGACGTCTCCTTTCTTACCAAGCTATTAATGATGGCGGCGTCCTTTATCCGGTGGCGGTGAGGCGGACGGTTTTGATGGGACAGCGAGATCAGAGAGTAAGTGACGGAGGAGACGGGGCGGAGGAGGGCGGCGGAGAGGAAGATGTGTCCAGAATGCGATGGGAGCACACGAAGAGAATGGCGTCCGCCGGCGATGGCCACCGTCGCGGAAGAAGACGGGCCATTGGAGTTCCTGTAGCCGTCGCCTACGCAATAGCTTTTGGTGGGACCCCGTACGCCTCATAATATTAAATTTAATTTAATGAATAAGCAGTTTAAACCTATAATATTAAAAGTTTGATCAATAATTCAGCTTAGTTTGGGATAATGTTATTGCTTCATAAAATAATTTTTTAGTTAAAAATTTAATTTTTTTTTATTAAAAATTTACTTTAAAATTTCCCAAAAAAAAAAAGAACTTTAAGAAATAATAAAAAAACATTTCCAAATGAAATCTCAGTTTTTTATGCCAAAGTTAAAATGTCATCAAATTTAAAAATAATTTTAATCTTTTTTAATGTATTAAAACTCTTTTTAGTAAAACATTAATTATGAAGATAACAAATTAACTTAAAAATAAATAGCATATAATTTAATTTAAAGATTAGGGGTGTCAATTTCGTGTCACGGGTCGGGTTCGGGTCGAACTCGAAACTGACCCAGCACTATTCGGTTCAACCCGAACCCGACTCGTTTTTTGAAAACGGGTCAGTTTTCCTGACCGAACCCGACCCACTTCGGGTCCGGGTCAACCCGATATGACCCGAATGACCCATTTCCAACAAGAAAAAGCTAGTTTTCGGGTCAAAAACGGGTATATCTCCTCTTTTTCGGGTAAAAAATGGGTATATTTCCTCTTTTTCGGGTAAAAAAACAGGTCAAAATCGGGCCAAAATCGGGTCAATCTTTGGTTGCCGGGTCAAAATCGGGTTTTCGGGTCAAAGGGTTAACCCAAACTCGACCCGATTTTTGAAACGGGTCAAAATGTTGAACCCGAACCCGACCCGTTTCGGGTTCGGGTTGACCCTAACCCGAAATCTTCGAGTTGGATTCGAGTAGGATTTTCGGGTCGAGTCAAATATTAACACCCCTATTAAAGATATGAGGATACTCCTGCATATACACACCTCAAATTTGTTATGAATATACCTTTTTAACAATAAAATATTTTTATTTGGAAAAATATTGGAAACTCCCGCTACTAGTTTCGGGTTCTTATTTCGACGAGAGGATGACCAAAACCTAAGTTGCTTTTTCGCCTGCGATTGCTCTGCACGTGCGATTCGCCATATGTGCCCCCTACAAAAAATTGGAAACTCTTGCTGTTGGCTATGGGTTCTTATTTCGGCATGGGAAGGCGAAAAGCTAAATTGCTTTTTTGCTTGCGATTGCTTTGCACGTGCGATTCGCTAGCCCTGCTCGACCGTCTGGATTGATGTCCGGACGGTTCGGTGACCGGACGTAATAATTCTCCGGAGAGATTATTAGGTGCGGAGTGCGGATGGGGAGAACCGTCCGCACAAGCACTATATCCAGCTAGGTACCGGCACTCGGTACCGATGAGTACAGCTGGATACTGTTAGGTACCCAGTGCTTATGCGGACGGTGCACACTTCGCATCTAATAATTTTTCCTCTTTTAGAGCTCAATTTCATAAAAGTATTATGTTATAAGATAAGCAAGTGGAGCAGATGATGTAGTTTATGCTTGAAAGTGTCATTAATGGCTTCTTTGATAATGTGGTGGCATAAATTATACAATAATTAAGTACATGTATGGCGGATCGAGCGGTGGCACCTTGGTCGATGGAATGTTTCTGTCTCACGTGATCCACATTCGATGTCCTTAACTGCCATTAAATGCCATAGATTTGTGATAAGCCTATTTATTATCATTGATATCTAACTATCAATTCATAATGTAATAATATTCTTAATAGAGAGTATTCTTATTTCTTAGAGTTCACTTGAGACAGCTTTCTTATCGTTTTCTAAACTCTCTTTCTAGCACCAAAAAAATTTAATTTAAAATTTTTTTAAACTAAAAAGCAGTAAGAAAGCTATTCCAAATGAATCCTTAAAGCATTATATTTATAATACAATTAACTGTAGAAACTAGTGTTTATTAAAAATCTCAATAACCCATAATTAAAATATATAATTATCAAAAAGAGAACTAAAAAATAAAAAGCATTTCATAAGCTCATAAGTGCCTTTTAGATCTCACAATCACTTGTTCACTCTACTTTATTTCTATAATTAGGCATGATATATTATTTATAGCTAAAATGATCAAAATCTTTCTTTAATGATTTGATCTTTCAAAATTTATTTTAAACTTCAAACATTAAAATGTGTTCTAAATGTATAATTACATATTTTTATTAATGATAGCAATTTATGAATATGAATATTAATGTAAAAATCCCTAATGAAAAATTTTTATTAAAAAAAATCCTCATAAAACTTTTGTGAATTTTATATGATATATATTATTTTTGAAAACCTTAAAAAACTAGCTATCACATTTATAATCCCTTTCAAACACGTCAACATGATAAGAATTGTATATATTTAGGCCTACATATTTAATTTCATTAATTTGGATTATATGGCTATCATTATAGAACTTAATGGGCATTGGGACCCTCTCCAATTACCATGATTATAATATTATTTTAAAATTTAGGCTTCATTTGAGACTTTTTTTTTTTATTTCTTAAGAAGTAATAAAAAAAGCTGTTCCAAACGAAATCTTAATCTCCTAATTTTTTATTTAGCTAGTTTTATCTCTCTTAAACTTTAATTTTGATTTTAATTTTAATTACCAATTTATTATGAAATACTTGAAAAAGAAAATAAAATATATATTATCTTTCATCATCTCTTTAGTTAAATGATAGATCAACAACAAACAAAACTTTATCCATCTAGATGGGATTGGCTACACTAATCTTTTTTCAGTATTGTGTTCTATTAAGAAATTAAATTCTCATTTAAATGAAATGAAAAAAAAAATCATTTTTCATATTTTCTAATCAATGCTATTTAAATCTATTTCTACATTTATTAATGTAAGTCAAATCTTATATATCTACTATTCTAACTAAATCATCTAAGACAACGCTCTTTAATCTTATGTGTCACTGGAGCTATTCCAACATTTTCAAGAGATACTCATCTCAAATTCTATGGTTCAAATATTTCTAAAACATTAATTAGGAGTATCAAAATGAATTGGCCGATCATGTTCAGGTCCGACCCAAAATTAATTACCTGAATTCGATCAACTCAAACATAACCTATTTAATAAATGAGCACTAACTTAAACCTGATATGCTAGCAACTTGAATGATCAGAAAAATTGCAAGAATCAATCAACCTAAATGATTATACCCACAAGTGAAAAAATTAAGGAAAAAGTTATTATACATGTCATTTTTTGATCAGAAATGAGTTCGTGGGTCAACTCAAACTCCGACCTATTTAATTAACGGGTCGAAACATAACTTGAACCAACTATTAAAAGGGTCAATTCAAAACTAAATTTTTTAGATCAGATTTACAAATTAGATCATTTATTAACACCCTAATTATAATAAAAAAAAACTAGCAAATTGAATTTAATTCATAAAACATTTGAAATTTGATGACTTTTCTTTGATAAAAATGTCCACTATTCTCTCCCGTGACCGCCTCTGCCCCACCACCAAACAAACAGCGCATCATTTCCGGTTACCCTTTTCACACACTTTATTACAAAATTAAAGCTCTCAACGACTCCTTCCATCTCCTATAACTCTTCCACTGAGCCACACCTCGCTGCTCGCACACTACTTCGTACAGCTCGATCATCGATGGCTTTGCTTCCTCTGCTTCTGCTGATGCTCGCCGGCTTTGCAACGTCGGACATAGCCAAAGATCGCGAGGAATGCGCCAACACGCTGGCGGGGCTGGCAACTTGTCTCACCTATGTGCAGGGAAGCTCGGCGGCGCCGACGCCGGACTGCTGCACGGGGCTTAAGGGCGTGCTGGCTCAGAGCCCCAAGTGCTTGTGCGTGCTCATAAGGGATCGAGACGATCCGAGCCTCGGCATCAAGATTAACCTCACGCGAGCGCTCACTCTTCCTGATACTTGCAAAGCCAAAGCCAACATTTCCCACTGCCCTGGTATCCTTTCTCTTCTTTTGTAGTTTTAGGGTTTAGATTTATAAGAACAATCGATTTCTGGCAAAGTACAAATTTGTTCATTTAGGGGTTGTGTTTGTTTCAGAGCTGCTGAACCTGCCGCCGAACTCGCCGGATGCACAGGTCTTCAAGAATTTTACGTCAGGCAGCACTGGTAAATTTTTACTACTTTGTTTTCACTTACGATGAGGGCTTTCGTTTTCAACCGTTTGATTATTATTAATCCAAGGGCTGCTGTTGCTGCTGTATTCGAAATAAATCAGTCGCATGATTTTAAAATTTTATCAATTTTTTAATCAACACATACTTATACAATTTTTTCTTATATGTTTATCAAAATTGTCAATATCTAAATATGCTATTATTTTATTATCATAATAAATAATAAATAATAAATAATAATAATATCATCAATAAGGATATTAATAAATAATAATAATAATAATCTTCATCAATAAGGATATTTTTGTATTTATATGATGTGTGTGTGTGAAAGTTTCAAAGAAAAATCAAAATGATTTGAAAATAATTAGATTTGCTTTCATATTAATGTTGCATATAAAAAAATTATTTAATTAATATAGAATTTTAATTTTATCTTGATGGAATTTATATCAAAATATTATGAGATAATTAATTTTTATCATTTCATATCCATCTTATTATTATTATTATTATTTTTAATGCCAGCAAAAGGCAGCTCAGCTAGTGATAAGGGAAGTGGAAGCTCCAATGTGCATGAAAGCAGCAGTGGCACACCAAAATACAACTCTCTCTTTGTAGGTGGACGAAAGTTGGTGGGAGTGCAGCATTTATTTGTTGCTCTCTTACTCCTTGCAATTGTTCTGATCTCCTAAAAATGGAGAAATTATTCTGTGCAGACTCCCGATGATTCAGAGGCCAATCAGAAGGCACCACATCACTCATTACACAGCACCAATACATAAAAAAAATGATGTGGTGTATTCTGATTGGCCTCTGAAAGACGTCTGGTGTCCGCACAGAATATTTTTTCCTAAAAACGGTCTAAAAATAACATAAAGATTATTAAATCAAGCAAGCTTATTAAAGTTTTATATGCTAATATAATATTTCCATTATATATTATTCTATACTATGTTCTACTCATATGACAAAATAGAATAATATAAAATGAAAAATATTAATTTAGCACATAGAAGTTTGTTTGAGCTATATGCTGATTTAATAATTCTTCCATCGTTATCTTTCTTCCCTTTTTCGTGTATTGATTGTAGAGTTATGCAGCTGATGCCATTAATAGTTTGAATCTGGAAATGGATACAGGTTGAGTTAGTGGGCGTGTAGGATTTCATTTATCTGACATTATCAGCTGCTTTATTTGAAGGATCATAAATGCTTGCTCTGCTTTATTTAATATTTTTCTTTTTTTGTTGCTTGTGGAGAACCAAATATGGCCGTTGCACATGGCCTAGTTGCCAACTTCTGATGGCTACTAATGAATGATGATTTACTTGAGCTAACCTAGATTTTGTCTTGAAAATATTTTTTTTGGGACGTTTAGTTAAACTTACAAGGGCATCACAAAGCTAAGATTCGGACTTAAGTAGGGGTGTTAATTCTGGTCAATGACCCGAGCATAAACGGGTTGATATGAACTCAACCCGTTTAACTAAATGGATCAGGATATACAACCTGAACCAACCCGACCAGCATAGGTTGTCGGGTTGACCCAACGCGACAGCGAACCCGTGTTGGAAACTAGGGCTTGGGCCTGCCGCCTGGGTTAACGCAAGTGGTGACCGGTGACTTGGTGAGGCCGCATCCGCATGTGAGGCGGATTGCCGTAGGCCGGAGGATGCGTGAGCCGGGATGCGAGCGGTGAATAGGAGGAGACGCCAAGGCGAGGGTGTGCAGGTTGGCCGCAGGAGTCACCAGGCCGACGCCGTTCGGGTTGGCTGGAGGAGGCCCGGGGAGAGGTCGAGGGTTGATAGTCAACCGTGTGGACATGCGGTCTGTGGCGACTGGGCTAGGCGGAGTTGCGGAGATGAGCCTAGGTCACGACTCATGAGTTAGCCGGGTTGACCCACATGTTTTCGAGTCAATCTAAACCTGGCCAGTTTTTCATACGGGTCAAAAATCTGAACCCGAACCCGACTCATTTTTCAAACGAGTTAACCCAAATCCAAATTTTTATGGGTCGGGTTTCGGGTCGTGTCAACGTTTCACACCCTTAGACTTTAGGCCGATTGATAAGTAGTCAAAGCTCCCAACCAACATACTAACTTGAGTTACATTGTCTTGAATAGAGGTTTAACTACACATCTTAAGCTGCCAATCAAAAGATAATGAATGAGAGTGAATTTATGGTTTACTTTGTTCTAAGTTCTACCAAAAAGGAATAGAGGCTTAGAAATGAAATCAGATGGAAGTAATTTTGAGTTTTACTGACCTTTTCTTTTATGAGCTATCAATTCGAATTCATGATCTTGAAGATACAATCATATTCTAATTAATGAATTATCAGTTGGTGATTGGTTCAAAAAGCTTAGTCATGAGGTTGTTTTGTTAGAACAATTTTTATCGGGTCGACTTAGCTTATCGTGTCATGTTTAAAATACTATCTTATGACTCTTGTCTCTATTTTGATGGATTAAACCAACCTGAATGAAGCTTGGATTTGGAGCTAAAACTTGGGCTAGATTATGATTAAGGCTTCGTTTGGGACAGCTTTCTTAAAACTGCTTTAAAAAATAGTAAGAAAGTCGTCCTAAACGTACCTTAAATTGAATTGAATTGATCATAATTATATACCTATTACTTCACTCAGATTCAGCTTAAGTCAAACTTGAGCGACCTGTTCCAGTGGGGACATCTTAGGCTGGACCATCTGAAATTCAAGGCTGGCTGAGATGGCCAATGGAGTTATGATAGCTTTCGTTGGAAAGAAATACTAAAGACCAACTTTCTCACTACTGTAGTACTATCATTATTTCTGAGGTACTATTTCTGTTTAGGTTCTATATTTTTCTTGGAAGCTTTCATTAAATTGGGCAAGGAGCAATGATGGCACAACACATGAGTGGCCCCCCAACAAACAGAATCATTTAAATGCCACATTATGGTGATTTTGTATTGATACAAATATAAGTAAAATAAATAGTTTCCTATGCTACATAGGATAGTTGTCTCCAAAGCTAAGAAGCATAATAGTGTGGTCATTTTTTTTTTTTGAAAATGATATGAATTGTATCCCTCAAAATGTTCATGTTGAGCTCGAGTCAAATAAGCTTGTTAAAAAAATTGATCCAATGGGTCAATTAGATCAATTAAACTGTTAGTTGAGAGCTTTAACTATCAATTAAAAAGTCTTGAGTTTGAATTATATATATATATATGATGTGTGTAAATTTATCTTAATTGACCTGAATATCCTCAACATACCAGTACCGTTGCTTTGCTCAAGTTGAGCTTCAATGTTTGAATTGTGGCTGGCGAGTTAAACCTGAAATGACTGAAGCTAGCAGATGTGCCAGTTAATTTAATTGGTAGAAGATTTTAAAATTATTATTAATGATACGCCTTTAAAAATTTTATTTTGATAAATATGAATCTTGATGTAATATTTAAAATCTTTTTAAGCTAAATTTAGAATCATCTGAAGATTGATTTGAACAAACTTATAATCTAATTGAGCATCTTGATGAGATGAATTCAGCAATATAAAATGTGATTCAATATGACTCTAATTCTCTAAATAAGCTCAAATCAAACACTTAAAGGTTAGTTAGAAATATTGGAACATTAATGAAAAGATCATACACTCTTTGAATCTTACATGCTTATAAACAGCTCAACAAGATGAATCCAACAAATCAAAAATGACTTGACTATGAGATCATTAAAATATTTCAATATTGAATAAATAACTTATGATCAAAGCCTCAAAGGTTTTGATTCGAGTCGTATGATGAAGTGGTATGAAATTTTAATCAAATTTATCAAAATGACTGCTCTAAAAGAATAACACCTTATTACTCTTCCACCAAATATTAGGGTTTATGTAATTTAATTATTCTAATTGCATGTAGTTAGATGAGTTTAATTACTGCAAGCATTCACAGAAGATAAAAAGATATTGAGGTATGAAAGCCCAGATCTATATAAATCCCAAACCCAAAATAATCATAATTTTAATAAATACAAACCAATTAGTACGTCAGGGTGTGCTCTCCCAACGCTAAGGCAGTCCTAAACGTATAAAATGATTGAATAAGGTTTCGTTTGAAACAGTTTTTATAGTGCTTTTTAAAGTAGTTTTCTAGTATAAAATTTTTGACTTTTGTACTAAAAAATTATTTTAAGAAACAGTAAGAAAGTCATCACAAACGAAACCTAAGAAAAAAAGTTAAAAAAAAAAAAAAAACATAAGGCAAAACAGAATGCCTGAAAAGTGTTTATTAAAGGCTTCCAATTTTAATTCAGTTTTCAGTCGCAAGCATCACACCAAAGTGAAATCACCAAAAGAGTCAGAATTCATCTAACATTTGAAAAAATAGACAAGAATGAGAAATTCAATGTATTGCATTCTAATAAAATACATGGACAAGTAAAAGAAAGATATTGATACAAAAGATCATCAACATGGTAAATTCTGCACTCTTAGATGCTTATATTTTTGCTCAGCGTTAGCAGAATTGACACACTCTGTCAATCCTTTGGTTAAGAGCATCTTCAATATTTCGACCCCCTCTTCCAAGGCAGCATCAATCTGGATATAAGCAGAATAACATTCAGGGAACATAGAACACGTTTGAATGTTCATCATAATGAAGAAAAATTAAACAGGAGAGCGTTTTTATCTCTGAAGATGAAAATTTCATCTTGTGTGCGCGTCGTGGACAAAAAGAATAAAAGAAATGTTTCACTTCACAAATAAAGCTATTTTAAATAGAACTTATAATTATTGTGTCTAATAGTGATATAGATATATGACTTATTCTTTTTGATTGAATTATATCATTAAGGCTTGGAGAATAATTGATTTAGCCACCGATATTACAACAACAACAACATCATCATCATCAAGTTTTTATCCCATTATGTGGAGTCGGCTTCCTGAATGTTTTTTCCCATTATTTTTTTTTAAGAATCAAATTCTCATTTAAATCTAATAAAAAATGTCATTTCTAATATTTTCTAACCAATTTCTTTTAGGTTTATCTCTACATTTCTTAATATAGGTCAAATCTAATACATCCACTCTCCTAACCACATCATTAGAAGGCTGACGTTTTAAGTGACGAAATCATCTAAGGCAATTCTTTCTAATCTTATCTGCCACTAAAGCTACTCCAACATTTTTATGAATATAGTCCTTTTGTATTCTGTCTATAAGACTGAATGCCACTCATCCACCCAAGTATCCTCATATCTGCAACATTTAACTTAATTTTATGCTTCTTTTTTACTAGCCAACATTTTGTGCCATAAAATATTACAGGTCTAACCATCATCTTATAGAAAATTTTCTTAAGTTTGAGGGGTACTCTATCAACCAACATGTCCAATGCATTTCTCCACTTCAACCATCTAACTTGAATTTTACTAATAATATCCCCATCCATTTTACCATCACTTTGAACAATAGATTGAGATATCAAAAGCATATACTCTTATTACTGACTTGATCGCCCAAAAGTCACAATCCCCCACTAGATCTATTACTACTAAAATTACATTCGATGTATTTAATTTTAGATCTACTCAAATGAAAACTTTCAGACTTAAAAGATTGACCTCCATAATTCAAATTTACCTTCAAATCCCTCTCTAGTCTTATCAATAAGAAAAATATTATCAACAAAAAGCATGCACCAAATGTCTAGTAAGAACGCCCATGACTAAGCAAAAAGATATGAGTTTAAAGTTGATCATTGACGTAATCAAACTAAAATAGGGAAAAACATGGTCAAACCACCTTGTGTTTGAATACAAGTAATAGCTCCTGCACACATATCCTTAATAACTTGAATATAAGCATTATTAATGCCTTTCTTTTCTAAAACTCTCTAAAGCACTTCTCTTAGAACTTTATCATATGCTTTATCTAAATCAATAAATATCACATGTGAATCATCCTTAATACATCACAAAAAATTGCATTGATCAAGAATGGATCTCAAGGCATATTCAAGTTGAAAACTTCCAAAATAAAATTTGGAACCATCAAAACTTTGATTTGATCAAACTTATAGTCAAATTAAATGTCTCAAAGAGACCAACCCAACAACATCAAAATTGGTCAAATTCAAGCCCAAATAGATCTAAATCAAGTATATTTAGAAGGTTCAAAGCATAAATGGATGAGCAAATGATCTCTAAATATGACATGCTTATAATAGAATCGAGCGGCTCAACGAGACAAATCTAATGAGTCCAAAACCACTTAATTCTGGCATCATTTGAGCACATAAATTCTTGACAAACTCATTATGATCAAGCAGATCAATATGGACTGTCCGATGGAGCACTCTGAATTTGTACCATATATTCTCCATATTTAAGTGGCATGCCACTCTTAAAAATTTATAAATAGACCCCCCACTTCTGACATGAAAGGGGGATTGGACCTTTGCAAGCTTAATCTTTTGGCTGGAGATTGGAAAGAGCTCTGAGACTTTAAGGATCCTAGAGTTCTACCCAAGCAACACCGCCGACGAACTTCCGTCACCACCGCCCAACCACTGGCCGTCGCCAGACCACCGCCTGTCCATCGACAGCCACCAGACCTCCGCTCGGCCGCCAACCGTCGCCGGACCACTGTTCGGCTCCATCAAGACACAACTTCGACCACTGTTACTCAACGACTCCAGTCTCACCACCACCATCACTCACTGACTCTGATCCCACCGACCAATGTCGCCCGGCAACTATGGTACCTCCGACCTCCACCTAGCATACTACAGTCCATCCAACCTCCATCGTCTGCCAACTACGGTCCCTTTGCCACCGTCGCCCGCCGACAACAGTCCCTCCATCCTCTGTCGCCTGCCGACTACGATAGCTTTGACCTCCTTTGCCCGTCGACTACAATCCCTACGACCTCTCTTGCCCGCCGACTAGGGTCCCTCCTATTACGATCCCTCCAACCACCGTCGCCCGCTGCAGTACCTTTGATTATCGTCGTCCGACCGTCGACCATTGTTGCCATCGACAGATCACTCCAACCACCGTTATTCGATGACTCCAGTCCTTCCACCACCATCACTCACCGACTATGGTCCCACCGACGACTCTAGTCCCTCCACCACCATTGCTAGCCAACTACAGTCCCACCGACCACCGACCGCCGTCGTTAGTCAACTACGATCCCTCAAACCATCGTCGTCAGTCGACTATGGTCCCTCAGACCTCCGTCGTCTGCCGACTATGGTCCCTCCGATCACTATCGCCCAACTACAATCCTACCGACCAAACGAACAAGCCAACGCACTCTTGAGAAAAACTCTCATATCAGTAGAATCTTCGAACTCCCACCATGTAATATGCTCTATATGATATACATTTGCTACATCAACCCAAGGCCCTCCCCCCAGTGAAAGGTTTCATTTGTAATCAACCATAAACACTAGTGAAATCATTTTAACCAGGCCAGACCCATGGTTTTTCCCCTTTTCAAGGCTTCCCACGTAAAAATCTTTGTGTCTCTCATGACCCTTATACCCCTCTATTATTCGTCTATGTGCTGAATCTTTCTACAAAGCTTTATATGCGTCATTTGTTGCGTCATCTTTAGATACAAGAGTTGTGTGTTGACTAGAGGAACGGAATTATCATATAAAATAAAAGTTTGAGACTTATGATTGCTCATTATAATACTTCAAGTTACAACGACAAATACTAAATCTTTGTTTAAATTTTTCCTGCGTGCTTTGTGCGCTGCACATATATGATAATGCCTGCTAAAGCCTCTGAATTTTAATAAGTTGCTAGAAAGCTGGGAACTGAGGTATGTACTCGTGTTGATTGTTGAAATAACTATTGGTCATAGTTTCCAGGTTGAAGCATTGTTACCTAATCGATCCTCCACTACTTTTTATTAGCATTTCTATAGAAAGGCCTTTTGCTTTTTCAAAAATAGCACCACTGTTGGTCCTTATATTACCTCGTCAAGATAAGATTAAAGAGTTCTACATACTCTCCCCCAATAAAAGTGTCCTCCATTTGATGATCTTAGTTGACTAAGTTACGTCATGATCATCTTCCTCTAATGCCAATCCCGCTCAACGGTGTAGTGTTGTATTGCCAATCCCATTCAAAGTTCGGTTATCTTTTTAATGGTATTCTTAGAAGTCTTGTCTATGTTAATGTCCTAAAAGAGTTGAAAGGAATTTATCATTTGGTTATGTTACATGAGTCATTAAATCATTTGGACTAGATATTTTTATTTTTCTCACGATTAGTTTTAGATATTTGATGTACATTTGTTACAGAGGAAAAATTCTACAAGGCTTTGTAAGATAAATTTGACTTTTTAAAGAAAGAATAAAAAATCTTTGTTGTGGATATGAAGTCCTTTGCTTTCAAGCTATCATGCTGCAAAGAGCAAGTTGAATTATGTCTTTCCCCGCCACTTCAACCTCCTATTGATATTTTCATCTTCTGCTTTTTTTCTATTGACCTTACGATTTAGTTATCATCCTATTCATATTATTTTCACAAACCATTATCTTAATCCAAAAAATACATGGAAGAAGAATTATATGAAAATATATATACGAAGTTCTGTACATTTTTGCATCATCATAGGAGAATGTCAACCAAGTAAAATAGAATTCATAAAAGATGAAGCTCAAGTTGTGCTCACCCTCACACGAGCTGTTTTATTAAACTTCTGCAGCATGAATGCTTTGGGATCCATCTGTCCAGGTGGCCGTCCGATGCCTTAAACAAGTTCATCAAATGATCAGCACTTTCTAACTTGAAAGGGGAAGCCTAAAAAGATGATACCAACCAACTCTTAGCCTGCAGAACTCCCTGTTCCCACGAAAATGATATATGACATTCTTTAACCTGATGTCAAAAAAAGTTCAAGTACAATTGCTTTACAAAAAAAATTAGGAAAAAATCCATGACAGAAATCAAGCTTTTAATCAAATTGAATGTTGTCTGGTAAAATATTGAAATTCCATTTCAATGCACTGACTTACTCCTATTTAAGAGATTCTTCTGTATCTTGCCGGATATTAATGATGAGAAAAAATTCGCTGGAAGATTAAGAATTGAAATAGTCCTTTACCCATTATGGTGCCCATGTCCTCCTCGTGGTTGTATGCGAAGAACTCCACAAGGTAAGTCCATGTCATCATAAATCTAAGTTGTAGATCAAATAAGAAGCACTCCTTTAAATGTCGTAAAATATGCTAATATTCTTACAGAACTTCATAACTCTCAAGTTTAAGAAAGGTTGTTACCACAAGAACCCGATTCAAGGGAAGTTTGTAGTAAGCTGCAAGCGGCCCTGTCTACACGAAAAATAACCAAAGAGTCATATTAATTTCAGCCAAAAAGGTGATCATATTCAACTAATAATGATGATTGTGATGCAACTATAAATTTAATATAAAATGATTATATTAGTTTTACAGTGAGTGTAAGCATAAAATAAGCAGTTCATCTCAATTATGATTTGTGGGTGGCTCTGAAAATCCCCACTCAGCCCTATTAATATTCAAATAAGAGTACTTTTATCCAGATTGGTTTTCTATTGGTAGATTGAATGTTAAATAAGATATTACCAACAGATTTCATCATCATAGCAGACTTAATAAATTGATTTGAGATTTCCCATAGACTTATGCCCCTACGGCTAATTCTCTCTCTTAATCACTAGAGAAAATTGTTTATTAAGGTTAATCCATATGCTCTACAATGCTTTGCTATCAGTAGTAGAAAAATGGGTTATGAAAAAAAAAAGACATACCGCTATTGATTCAAAGTCAATGATAGGCAGTGACAACAAGCACAATCAAAATCAATGATTTCATTATCCTAGGCAATCATTAACCCTAATTTACAAAATTAAAAGAGAATTAACAAAATTTAATCATAAAATCCTTGTCAACAACAATATTTTGTATTGTTTAAGCAAACCTAGTAGACTTGGGTACAAAGCTTGATGCAACAACAACAACAACATCAAGCCTTTATCCCACTACGTGGGGTCGGCTACATGAATTCTTTCTCTCCATTGTGTCCTATTAAATGTCAAATTCTCGTTTAAATCTAATAAAGAAAGGTCATTCCTAATATTTTCTAACCAAGCCTTTTTAGGTCTACCCCTACCTTTCTTAACACAAGTCAAATCTAATACCTCTACTCTCCTCACCGGGTCATCAGAAGGCCGCTATTTTATGTGACCAAACCATCTAAGGCGACTCTCTCTAATCTTATCTTCTACTGGAGCTACTCCAACCTTTTCACGTATATGCTCATTCGTATCCTATCTCTAAGGGTAAAGCCACTCATCCACCTAAGCATCCTCATCTCTGCCACACTTAACAAAGAATTATGCTTCTCTTTTAATGGCCAACATACGGCACAATAAAGCATTGCAGGCCTCACTACCATCTTATAGAATTTTCCCTTAAGTTTGAGGGGTACATCTCTATCATATAACAAGCCCGATGCATTCCTCACTTCAACCATCCCAATTTAAATATCCTGCTTGATAATATCCCCATCTATTTCACCATCACTCTGAACAATAGATACAAGATATCTAAAACGTGTACCTCTTATTAATGACTTGATCGCCCAATCACAATCCTCTCACGGATAGGTCTATTACTACTAAAATTACCACTCCACTATTCATTCCCGTTTTAGATCTATTCAAGCGAAACATTTAGACTCTAAGGTTGACCCCCATAATTCAAGTTTACCTTCAACTCCCTCCGCAGTCTTATCAATTCAAGAAGGAATAATCCATCAGCAAAAAGCATACACCAAAGTACATTCCTCTATGTATATGTCTAGTGAGAACAGTCGGCAGTGACTAAAGCAAAAAGATAAAGGTCTTAAGGCTGATCTTTTGATTTACCAAGCCGAAATAGGGAAAGACTGTGGAATCAACACCACCTTGTGTTTTGGAACACAAGTAATAACTCCTGCATTAATATATCTTTGTAATGATTGTGAATATAAGCATATTGACTCCTTTCTTTCAAGAACTCTCCGATAAGCACTTCTCTCTTGGAACTTTATCATATGCTTGGTCAAATCAATAAATTCATATGTAGGATCCTCTTATTTTCCTCTCTATTTTCCATCAAACCTTTCTTAATAAAGTGTATGACTTCCATAAGTCAACCTACCGGCATGAAAATCCAAATTGATTTTGAGATAATATTAGTATCACGCCGCAACCTATGCTTTCCATAACTCACTCCATTAAGTTTTAAAAGTATGACACATTAACTTAATACGCTTTATATTCCGTACAATCTTGTGCATCACCTTATTGAAAAATAGGAATTAACACACTCATTCTCCACTCATCCTGACATAATTTTTAGTCTTCAAATAGTATTAAAAGTTTAGTAAGCCAAGAAATCCCTTCATCTCCTAAGCATTTCCACAACCTTTTGGAAATATCATCAGGTCCATAGCTTCTCCCACCTTTCCATTTCTTTAAAGCCTTTCTAAATTCAGTTTTACTAAATACGCTGATTAAAAACATAAATCTTTCATTTCATTTAGGTGGTTTAAGGTCACTAGGTAGTCCAATACTTATTTTGCACAATCTTCATTAAAAAGTTTAGCAAATATGTCATTCACTCTTTGTTGAATATCATCTTTCTAAGAAAAAGTTTTTTTGATCTTCATCCTTAATACACTTCACTTGAATAAATCTTTACTAATATCTCTTTGTTTTTGGCTAACTTATGCATATATCTTTCTCCCTCCTTAGTATTTAATCTATTATATAAATCGCTAAAAGCTAATGTCTTTGCATCGCATATGGCTTTCTTAGCATCCTTACGAGCAATTTTATATATTTCCCAATTATCGGAATTTTTAAAATTAAACCAATTTTTATAACAAAGCTTCTTATTTTTAATTTTTTCTTGCACATTAGGATTCCACCACCAACTATTTTTACTATTGGGAGCTTTTCCCTTTGATACTCCAATGACATCTTTTGCAATATTCTTAATATCACTAGCCACTTTTTCCCACATAATATTAGCATCCTCATGCACAGACAAAATCTTAAGATCTAAAATCTTATTTCCAAAAATATTTTTGTTAATATTCTTTAAATGCCCCCATTTAATCCTAGAAAATTGTTTTACTTTATTTTTTATTTTATGCCTCTTTATCTTAAAGTCCAAAACTAATAATCGATGTTGGGTACATAAATTTTCACTCGGAATAACTTTACAATCTTTGCAATCTAAACGATCTAATTTTGTTATAAGAAAATAGTCAATTTGGGTTGTACTGTATCCATTTTTATAAGTGATGAGATGCTCATTCCTTTTCTTAAATAAGGTATTAGCAATTGAAAAATTATAAGCTAAACAAAAATCTAATATGGTCTTTCCACCTTCATTCGTCGTTCCAAATCTATGGCCACCATGAATGCTTTTAAAATCATCTACCTCTCTACCAACATGTTCATTTAAATCTCCTCCAATAAAAACTCTTTCTTCAAGAGGTATATTTTGTATTAATTCTTTTAAGTCATTCCAAAATTTTAATTTAGAACTCATATCCAAACCTACTTGAGGAGCATAAGCACTTATAATATTAACAATCTTATCATCAACAACAATCTTTAAAGCTATAATTCTATCTCCAATCCTATTAATTTTTATAACATTATCCTTTAAACTCTTATCTATAATAACACCTACACCATTTCTAGTACGACTCCTACCCGAATACCAAAGTTTAAATCCTAAACTATCAATATCCTTAGCCTTCTCTCCAACCCACTTAGTTTCCTGAATGCACAAAATATTTAACTTCCTATGAATCATAATATATATTAATTCCATTAATTTTCCTGTAAGGGAACCTATATTCCAAGTTCCTATCCTAATTTTAGTTTCATGGACTAGCTTCTTTGCCCACATTCGTCCTTGATGTGGGAACCCTTGCCTATTTAACACAGCACCCGGGCGCCGGTGCAGCGGCCCTTGCACACTTGTCACTGTATTCAGGCCATACAGCGCGTCGCTTCCAGGGGACGCCCTAGCATTAACACAATTTCTTAAAGGATTCATGTCATTATTGTTCGACAAGTTTGATGAAAGGGTCAATCGTACAAAGTTTGATGAAAGGGTCAATTTTAACACCGCCCTTGGCTAACAAAGGACTTCATCATATGTCTTATAGCACATAAGCTTAGCCATTGAGGAATATCCTGACTTGGACTTTCGTCTAGGTTACATGGCTCAAGAGCATATCTAAGGCATGACCAGGAGGCACAAAGGGGACTTGCCAAGACCTTACTACATGAAAGTTTTTAGCATGGTCATATGAATACACATGATATGGCATTATCTCTTTTCATAGTTTAATCGAAGTCAAATTTATCATTCTTGGCAAATTGATGTAAGAATGAATGGATGGTTCTCGGAGTACACAACGGTTGATTAGCTTAAGCTTTTCGTCTTTTATATATACAAATTGATATATACATTTTTCATTATTTTAGGAGAGACTAATATGGTTGTGAAGTTCCCTTGAAATTTTATTTTGAAGTTTGTGGGAGTATTTATATAATGAGGATCCCCTCTAATTATGATTGACAATAATCAAGCCCATCATGGGATAAGGAATTGAACTGTTTTAATTGATTTATTGTGGTAAGCATTGATGAAATATTTTGCTTAAGAAACCCTCTGTCAATTTTATCACTCATCTGCAAAGGATTGGATTTTGGAAGTTATTGGGCTCTTGGCCATGTCAAATCCACCTCTCATAGAGGATTATACCTTCAAAACTTATCAAAGCTATGGGTATTTTCTACTCTACCTTATGTTACCATACTATAAGCCATGTTGACTTTATCTCTCATGTGTAGAGAACTGAGCCACAAAAAAGTTGTTGAATTATGTGGGGTGTCAAGTATACTCTTTGGATGTTGAGGATCAATATCAAGTGGATCCATAGCACCAACATTTATGCCCAATCTTTTATAGTTTTTAAAACCATGGGTATATACATAAATTTGTTTTGAAAAAAAAATAATAGAGAATTGCACACTTTGATATAGCCTTGAGAAGATATGAGGCACCATACATAATTTTTTATTTTTTTTAATCTTTATGAATTACCCCTAAATATTTATATATTTCTTCCATTTTGTACATATTTTTTGAAAAACATTTTACTTTTTTTTCTTTTGCATTTACTTATCTAAGAAAGCTCTTTATTTTGTATTTCTTATTTTACATTTTTCCCATTTTGTTATGCTTTAGAAAATATGAAGTGCAATCCATTTAAATGTGCATGACATGGAGCAACTTGGATGTGCATGAATGCAAATTGATAGTTTTCGCACCACTAGAAAGAGAATCGAACTAGAAGGTAAACTTTTTTCTATCTACGAGGTAAGTTGACCAAGATCAAAATAGTCTCAAAAGATGTGTATATTATTTCGTAAGATCAATCTATTTTTAACTTTGATATTTTTGTTGACAATGACGACTTCATTGTAATGCATGCAAATCTTTACATATACTTATTTATAATATATCTTGACTTAATGCACGCTTTTAAATGCATTTTTTTTTTATATATCATCCATAAGTTTATTTGTGTTCACATTTGCATTCATGTTTATCTAATTTTTTCCTCAACAGAATTTTTTGTCTGAGTTTTTGAAAGAAAAAAATCTGGCAACCCTTTCACATCACCCTAGTGCAGGGATAACAAAAGTAGATCATTTTGTAACACCAATAAAGGTGGATTTGGTGCACTGCACATGGTAATAAAACCTATTTAAATTATCCCAACATAACAACAAAGGTGTTTAAGGGAATTGAGAGTGTTCTTACATAAAGGTTTATCAAAAATATGTCAAATATATAATTTCAATTAGGCGAAAAAAGATGCGTATAGGAAGCACGTGATAGGGCCGAATTTTGTTACATGTTAAGGTACTCAATGTTAACAAACTCATCTCATGTGGTCACAATCGCATGTAGCATTGACAATATCAATATTAATCAGGTGGTTATATTGAGTTAACAATTTTTCGATGGAGATGTCGATGAAGTCAACATTTGGTCTTCATAATTACAATGTTATGTATAGCATCTAGGATGAAGCAAGTTGCCAAGGCCTTATAAAAGTTCCCTAATTTATATCATTATATAACTCAACAAAATCATCTTTTTTCATAGTAAATCCTTCAATGATCCTTGCCATTACTGGTTGAAAGTCAGGGCATAAGAAAAGACAAAATTGGTTATCATCCTAAAAAGACTTGCTATTGATATTAATCCAAGGGTAAATTATCCACCGATTGGCCCCATCAATTTGGTTGAGGGTGGAACTTGAGTATATTTTCATGTAATATGAGGACTCATTGTCCTCAGTAATATGCTAAAGCAATGAAATATCCAAAGTCAGTCTTCTATGTTCAGCATTAGATACCAAACAAAAGAAGGTCTTGTCAACAACTGCTGAGGGGACGGATGCACAACCTAAATGATGTTTCCATCCAACCATTTGGAGGCAAACTTGCCTATTTCTCATAATTTCTTTTTGATGGAGAAATTCAATCACATCCTCAAGCTTGCATGTGAGAAAGTTGCCAACGAGTAAGTCACATTTCACATAGAGAAGCGGGGAAGGGGGCTGATAGGTGTGCAGGATAGGACAACTCCTAGCATAATGTTCTCTCAGATCCAATGTTATGTCCTCTTGATCGATCTGATTCTCTAGTAGATTGAATTTTGTATAGATTTTGTGATTAAAACTACATTACATAGGGTTAACATCAATGGATGTCATGAACATCAAAGTTGTAAAGAATTGATTTGAGAATCTATCATCAAAATAATCTCAATAAAAAATGAGGGATTTATGCCCAAATCTGTGAAGAGGTCAATATTTCTGGATTCAGTTATCATGTTCTACCCTTTGCTAAAAAAAGAGTAACTTATTGTATTACTAGGCCCAAGTGACTACCAAGAAAATCATACAGAACTGAGCTAGCTTTACAATAATACCAATATTGCCTGATTGCAACAAGAAATGAAAATTTTTAAGCCCAAATTACTGAGAATAGGCCATCATCATTTCTAAATTTTGAATATATATTGCATCAAATCAGATTCGACTAAAGTTGGTTCACCCAATTAGAGCCAAATTTTGATGTATGTTGGCACAATAAGCCTTTTCAACAAATCAAACATGTCAAAATAGTTAGATTGATCAAATAAGTAATGGATCTAATATTTTTATGCATTTATTTTTTTTATTATTTAAATAATACACTTGCTATCCACCATTTTTATGGCATTTGACTTCTTCAATCTCTCAAACTTCAAATTTCAATGATGTGCTTTTCAAGTAATGCATACATTTTGAATCAATTTTATGTAAAAATCACATCAATTTCCTATCATTTTCATCACATCCAACCTCTCATATGATTGACCATCCCCACACTTTTATCTTTGATCGCAGTTTTGAAATCACTAGCTATAAGTTTTTTCTTATGCAATATAATTGTTGAATCAATTTTACTTAAAAATCATGTATCATTTTTTTTTTGTTTCTTGATTGACATAAAAGGACTTCAACGCCAGTGATGACAAGTCAGTTAATAGTCAAAGACCTTCACAAAACTACGAACAGGTCATATCATCGGCTATCCCAATGTTTAAACTTGAGTAATATTATGACATCAACAAATACCCCCCTCCTTGAATAAATATGATGTACTTTGAAGCGGATTGTCTTATATTGACCCTAAAAATCTCTATGAAGTTATTTTGATGTCATCAAAGCTTTCGTAGAGAGGCAAGTGTGCTAAGCATCGATTTTGTCATTTTGAAAATATGAGGCTCAAATGCAATTGCTTGTTGAGCCAATAAAAATCAATGGTATGACGTTTTTCTCAAATTAGACTTGATGCAGATGAATCAATTCAACCATGGCTTTCGAGAACTAGATGCACGGTTTCTTCCATCCTACATAATTTGTACTTGGCAAAACTGTGGAAAGATGTGTGCAGGAAATTTTTACCTGAAGGCTTATGTCGGTTTGATAATTTGTATACCACAAGAAATAGTTGGTACCACTGAGTTTGATAATTGTATTAATAATTAATGAGGGTTTTGCCCGTACTGTTCACAATTTCTATTCTACTGTTGATTCTTTTCCACTTATTCCTCTATTGGGTTGACCCATTTATCTATGCTATTTATGGGTTCTATACATCTTTTGATTTCTGTGGTCATATCTAAGCATTTCTATGATTTTTTCTCGTACCTATCTACACCACCAAACATGGAGTTGATTTTACATTTAGGGTAATTTCAGAGACAACAAACATTTGAGTTTTTGCTGTTTATAAATAAATAATTTTGAGGCATTCAAAAAAATTTTGTTTAATGAAATTTTCAATGTCCATTTCAATCTTTAGTGTGTAAGGCTGAATGTTGATTCCATGGAGTAAGGTCCAACTACAACTACCAACTTTTAATGGAAGTCATCTTATATCAACGTGAGGCCTGAATCTTTAGTGCTTGATGATCTCTTTCCTTAGCCTCTTTTCTTCTACATAACTTATTATTGATCTTTATAAGAGTTCTTGATTTTAATCAAATTTGTTACAACCAATTTTCAATTGTGATAAAAATTACAATCAAATTATGGTTTTTGGTAGTTTTTATTTCTTGTTGATTTTCTTTGGTTTAAACGATCATTAAATTATTATTTGGTTTGATTCTATCGTTTTAGGTTTACATCAAAAGAAAGTGACTTTTTTTAAATGATAGTCTTTGAAATCTTGAATCTCAAATTTAATTTGTGTGATCTTTTAGTTGCATAAGAAATTTTAAACCTTAAGATGTTATGCATCAAGATCTTTGTCGCATATTCAGTAGAAGCGCACAATCCTAGGAAGAAAGACAAGTTTCGGTTGTGAACATTTATATATATATATATATATTTGTGTAAGATAAGTGCCTTATATGTTCAAGGATTTAATACACATTCATTCAATTCTCCGAAAATTCAAATGCTATCAAGCTCTTCGTTTAGATCCTTTAAGCTTCAAATACTAATTTTTTTCCAGCCCATAGCATTCTTGCTGATCAAAATTCATGCTTCCAATACAAAATAAATGATTCCCATGCACCTATCAAAAATTTACAAGCGATATAAAAATGAAGTTCATAATCAATTACATGAAGATAACATAGATCGCAACTTGGGAGTCAATTTCATCTTAAATGAGTTAACAAACATATTTTCTGAAAGTAACACGTTCTGTAGATACAACTGAACAAACAAGAAGAGAAGACGTTTAAAAACTTACAGATTCACCGCTTAGATTCATGTAAGTCTGCGGCTTTGCAAGGAGGACGGGGGTGCCCTCAAATTCTCCTGAATCAAGCATACTAAAATTAGCTTAAAAAGTGAGAAACTTTGTAGCAGCCACAACAGAAACAAGTCACACAACTGACCTTCGCCAAAATGGGACTTGAAATGGACAGAATTCATAGAAATTCCAAGTGCCTGTGCAAACGTGCTGATCATGTCAAAGCCCACCTGAAGCAAAACCAGCAATAAAAAAGAAAGAGGAAAAAAAAAGTCTCTTCGAAAAAGCAATCATTTCAAGTGATAGAATAGATACATTGTGCCTCGTGGATTGGTACTTTTCACCAGGGTTGCCAAGCCCGATGAAGAGCCAAGGCTGTGGACCAGACGAAGGTACTGAAGGGAGAGCATGAAATAAACGTCTGAAAAGCTTACTGCAGTGAAGCATTGACTATCAAATAGCTCTCGATTATCTTTCAGGTTGTATGGTTTCGTCCTAAGTTCGAAAAACATTGACTATTTAGTTATTGGCTTTCTACAAAACATAATCGATTTAGACTAAGGCACACTGAATGTACTAACTTACAAAAACTTTTCATGAAATTTAAGCTTGCACGCTTGAAAACTTTCGTCACTTCAGTAACATAACTATAATGAATTAAAATGATGAAATATTTCCATAAGTTGATTCCTCCAGTATCATTACCCTTTAAACACATTAACAATTGGAGAGGGGGTAATTAGAACTGTGTCGACTCAAAATTAAGGTTATTTATTGAAATGGTATAATTAGGCTAGATATATTAATACAAGAACCAGAGAAATCAATCATCATCACTAAGAGATTCCTGTTACTGAGCGAAGAGAAGAAAAAACAAGTGGATGACAAAGCTTTATGTGATAGCTACATTTACGAATGAGGTTTTAGCCAAGGTTTTAAAGCAAACAGCTTAGACTAAAACTGAAATTTGGAGTTTATTCACATGATCAAAAGACTCTCCAATAAATAAATTTTAATTAATGATAATGATATGCATACAAAATTAAATATTCAATACCTCATGGCAAAGTCAATTCCATAATTAGAGATTTAATAGTAATGATTTTAATAGTTTAATAGTGAAAAGTTTTTTAACAGTTTTTTTTTTTGTAAAATAAGATTACAAATTGTGGAGAATGGATAAATGCTGAATTAGATTTAAAAGGGTTTTGATGAATACGTTATGGTAATATATATGCTGCTTATGTATAGAAAATTTCAAATATTTTGATTCTTTATTTCACTATTAAATACCCAAAAAAGGTGTCATCTTGGTCAATGTTTTTGAATTTCTAAATAATTCATGATTTCGACAAATCTATTCATACCTGCTAGTAAATGGATTTGAGCTAGTACTTTTATTTGATATTAAATTCAATTGCCACATATTTTTTGTCAATAGGGTATGAATAGAAACATAATTAAAATATTTGTGATTTTTTATTTATATGCATAATATTTCTTAATGTTTCCATCTATTATGATGCACCAGCACTTCTCCTCAAAGAGGCGTACAGTGTCCGATACGACATGTGTTCGACACTCTTCTGACACGTGTCGTACACGCTGAAAATGTGTTTGATTAAAAAAATATTAAATACAAATTGGATACGTATGTCTTAAATATTTTATGAATATTTTTAAATATAATTTATTGTATTTAAATTTTTTATTTATTTAAAATATAAAAATTAAATTTCTTATTTCCTATCCACAACACAAAATCAACCACCCGTATTCAATATCTCATTCATCGAAAATTCTCATTTTCAATTCTCTTTGGCGGTTTACGACTTTGATCTCAATATAATACTCGATGTTATCTCAACATCAACGTCTCACGACGTTACAATATCAACATTTCAAAACGATCTCCATATGAAAGACTAACACTGTCTTGACATTGATGCTCGACGCGACGCTAGCAAATTCTACACCCACAACTTGACATCTCATTTTTGTCCTACGCCTTCTCAACATCGACAATAAACATCCTCTTAACATTGACGCCAGATATTTACTGCATAACATCAATGCCCGACTCTCGACAACATTGTCATCTCCTCTCTCTATGACTAATAAACGACATCGACGCCCGACTCTTAACATCCTAATATTAATCATTTTAAGCACAAAAAATCTAGTTAAATGACTTATTATTTCTAAATTATTTTTAATATTATATTTATTAAATTTTTATACACAATTTTTATAATATAAAAACTATAATACCGTGTCCAACCTGTGTCCATGTCCTATATTTTCAATAATTGATGTCCCATGTTTGTGTTATGTTGTATTATTGTATACGTGTCGACGTGTTCGTGTCTGTGCATTATAGGTTGCCATCATTATAAATATGAATCTTATGGTATAGAAATAGAAAAAATGCTAAAAATATCTACACTGAATGAAATACAATCATTAAAGCATAACCCGTGGATTTGATGAAAGTGAACGTTGATGATATAAAAATTTAATGGTAAAACCTTATGGGATCTTTGAATTCACACTCGACTATTTTATACATGTGATTTAGAGTTAAAAGGCATATTAGATATAACATAAGATACTAATCAAATATTTTGCCCTTATTCTACTACGAACTTATAATATAGTTCAAGATTTCTCATAGCCATAGGCATAATGAGGACTTATGTTTATAATAAGCCATAGACATGCCCATCATAGGGGTTATTTGAAACGTTGCACTTTTTTGCTTGGAATCTCATCCACTTTGCTATTTTCTCACAAATGATGAGGCTTATAGGTATTCTTATGCATATCTTTTGAATTTATTTAAACGTTCATTGGGTTACAAGCCTTATCAACTCTACCCCACATATAGAGGATGGGGTTGAGAGTTAAACTCACGGCTATGCCTCAAGAGTTTAAGTTTTGAATCAATTTTCTTTACTAAAGTCTTTTAAGGCCATATGCAAACATAAAATCAAAATAACACCGAAGGGGCTTTCTGCAAGACAATTTTCTAATCCATCTTCAAGATATTTATTCAAATCAGATTTCAAAGATTTCTTATTTGTTCTCTCTGAAAAATAGGCTGTAAAATCTAGCCAACCACTAAACTTATTTGCTCCACATTCTTGATCACTTCTTGTATTATTACTAGTACCAAAAGCTCTTGATGTTCCCACTTTGATTGTGCCATCTGCACATTCTATTTCCTCTTCAAAACATGTTGTGCATTCTTCATACAACTCAAATAGTAAGCTGGGGATGTACGGGCTTTATACGCTTTCATCCTCTTCATAGATTATTGGAAATGCGAATTCTATGGCAATAAATTTAATTCTATGGTCCATGATAGCACCAAAGGCTATTAGAAGATTACACTCAGTCCAATATTTATCAAAATTTGCCTTAATTTTTGTTGACAATTTCTTGATAAAACTATCTGAAGAATATGCCTCATCATCCAATACTTTTTCGGGTCGTGTCAAATAATGACACCCCTAATATTTGTTGCCTCGTCAAAAAAAAAACCCAAAAGATCACACACCTTTTCTATGTTATCCCACTTCTCCTATGTAGGACAACTACGATAAGCAAGCTCTCTTTCCATGCAAGAAAAGAAAAAGCTTCCCTCAGTTTCAATGCCACGATAAGCATGCTATAGGTCGAGATCCAACGTGCTGGACAGTCCAAAATAAGCTTTCTTGTTGGTAGCTACAACTGTTGAACAACTTTAAAAAATTTTGTCAACCTTGTTTCAGAAGCATTTATGAAATTGATTGACTCACGAACTTAACCAACAACTTGATCAACAATTTTGATACCATCCTTCACCATGAGATTTAGAATGTGTGCACAGCATCGCACATGAAAGAGTCTACCTTCAAAAAATAATTACTTCTCACGCGAAAGTTGTCCTTCAACAACTTAATTGTCATATTATTATTTGAAGCATTATCAATAGATATTGTAAATACTTTATCCTCTAAACCACACTCACCGATTGACTTATAAAATGTGTCGACAATCTCTGATGTTGTTTGTGGTGGAGGCAAGTGTGAAAATCTTAGCACTCGCTTTTATAATTTTCAATTGGAATCCACATAATGTGCTGTCAGGTGCATGTAAGAAATTCGTTGAATTTTGGAAATCAATAGATCAGTTATAAGGCTAAGTCTGCTTATGCCTTTTAATGTTACATGTAGCTTTTTCTTATCCTTCTCATACACCACCATTCCGAGCTGTTGTTCTACTGAACTTCATAAAATAAGGTGACATTATCTTTAATACTAAATTAAAGCCAAACTCTTTAACAACTGAGAACAGTTTTTCATTTATCAAAATAATTTGGGCAACCATCTCCCTAATTTTGGATTGTTCATACTTGAATGTTGTTAAACTTCCACTCTCTTGAAAATTTTCACACGTACATGTAATGTCTTTATGTTGAAACTATAAAATCTTTTGATTCCTTGAAGCGTGCATTCTTGCAAAACAAAAATCTAAATGCCTCATAAACTGTGTAGTAGAACATGTGCTAACTAAGCATAACTTTTTCTTTCAATGAGAACATTTATCTTTCTTCTGGCCATCAGGGAGAGTTATTTTCTTAAATTCATCCCAGACTGCATATGTTTTTTTTTTTTTTCCTTTTCTTGTTTTCTATTGGATTTTCACTTGTAATTTCATTTGTTTATTTATCATCCCAACAATCATTTATCTGATATTCTCCCAAAACATTATAGTTGTCATTTCCACCCTCATTGTGTGATTTCCCTTCTCCAATTTCCAAATTCAAATGCTCATTAATATTGTCTTCAATAACTGGATCTACAAACATTCTATATGCAAAAAACACCAAATAGCTCGTTTACTGAAAAATATGAAATATCATAAATTTAAAAAGCTAAAACGGATGCAACATTTTGCTAAGAAGACCAGTGAATTAGATGCTTAGGTGAATTATATATTAGTTTCAAGCCAAAAGATAAAAGGAATAAAATTTGTTTTTCTCCGGACTAAAACTCGCTAAACTTAACCCATACTGAAATAAGAAGTGCTCAATTAAATCAGTCACCTTCCAAACAACATTCATGACTGGTCTAATATAAATAATTTTAAGGAAAATAAAAACAATCCAAACAACGACAAAAAACAAGAAAATCAATGGCTGCACCAAAAGCATGTTAGTAAATAGAAACAACTACAGAAAGCAAAATACTTGATATCAAAGCCTCACCTCCCTGTTTTCCTCCAAATACCAGATAAATCTCAATAAGGTGAATCAGTCCCACCTCCCTAAAACAAGTAAATAGCTAATAAATACTTATTTATTAACTTCTTATAAGATACAAATAATTAAGAAAACATATAATAGTAGATTAAAGGCCGAAACTGCAGGATGTTTCATGAAGAACAAAAGCAAAATGGAAAGAAGTCAATGAAATAGCGTCATTAATAAAAATAAATAAATCACTCAAAACCCTACAGCAATCAAATTTCTGAGAATGTGCAAATCTTCTCTCCTAAGTTCGGCCTGTGCTTCTTCGGGAGACTGGGCCACTGGCTGCTGGAACGGGAAGCCTGGATTCAGGGGCTATTTGGATGCAGGATTTAGGCCGGATTTGAAGCGGATTTGAGCTAAATCCAGCCAAACGGCCAAAAATGCAAAACCAAATCTCACGGTAAATCAAAGCTGCGGTTGACGGAAAATTCCCTCTTTTCGTGGTAAATCCCGGATTTACGAAAACCTTTGGTTCGGCGGATTTGCGGGATTTGGCAGAAGAAGCGCGCGAAAGATAGAAAGTTACTTTCACAGCAAGCGAGCTCCCGTTGTCGCTTCCGATCAAAAAATGTCGTAACTTCCGATCCGACAGGAAGGGAACCTCGTCGAAGGAGCGAAGTCGAACAGCCACGAAGATAAACTCGTGTAAAACTCTACACTCATGCGAAGGAATGAAGCCGAAAGAAATGGAGAAGGGAAAGGAAAAACATGGATTCCTCTAAGTTATTGTTGGAATGTTGGATAACTTAATTAATATAATTTAAAATATTAATAATTAAGTGAAACTAATTAAATAATATTTAAATAATTAATAAAATTATTAGTTAAGTACTTAGTTATTTCAAAATAATTAATAAGATTAAATATGATTTTAAATGTAAATAATTATTATAAAATATTATAAATAATAAATAATTAATTAATTAGTATTAACAAAGTTTTGTTATGTTTTATTTTTTTATTTTTTTTATACTTTGATTATCTTAGAAATAAATATCAAATTTTTAATCACCTTCAATTTTGAATTGAATTTTCAAAGAGTTACACATGATTTATTAGAATTTATATTAAATGTTACCAAACAGTTTTCAGGATTTAATACTTTTAGGATTTTGTAAACCCGAATTTAGAGGATTTAAGAAATCCTACTTAAATTAAATCCTTGGTGCATCCAAATAGCCCCTTAGAGTAAGAATGAGTGAAATTAGGTGAAGGTTG